GTTTTGGTGGGGGGGTTGTTTTGTTAATGGTGCTGTCTATACCACAAGATCAGTAGACACTTTTGTGTGTGTGTGTCTGTGTGTGTGTCTGTGTGTGTGGGTGTGTCTGTGTGTGTGGGGTGATGTTCGTGCATGCGTGTGTGTGTGTGTGTATTTCACATTGTGTTTTGTTAACTGTACCACAAGGTCAGTATTGTCGGGTGGTGAGATTTGTTAGCGGCAGCCTCTATTTGACAACACTAGTAAAGACTTGAAGGTGGGTGTTTGGTGGGTGCTCTGGTGTGGTTTGCTCCCTCTTTCTTATCGAACATCTATCGTCCTTAGAATCTCTCCTCCTTGTGGGTGGTTGGTGGGTGCTCTGGTGTGGTTTGCTCCCTCTTTCTTATCAAACATCACATCTATCGTCCTTAGAATCTCTCCTCCTTTTTTTGTGTTTTTTATCCCCCTCTGTCCACCCAGCAGTAATGGGTACCTGACTTTGAGTTGAGGAAGTAAAGGCGGCGTGGAAAGGAACTGGCCACCCTACCACAATATAATGCCGAAGGCCCAGGAAGTTGTCACACTAACAAGGCAATCCCCGATGTCCGGACCGGATACGGGAACAGCTTTACTTTACCCTCTAATAACACCTCTAATCTTCGGTACTTATATGACCTAATTATGTTGTAAGTGCCGTAAAATACTTATCAAAATAAAACAATGGTAAAACTGTCTTCCTTTGTGTGTGTGTTTTTAACAGACTATTCCGCTGATGAGAAGAACCGATTGGAGGAGAAACAGAGGGACGCAAGGAAAGACAGAAAGAAAAAGAATAAAGAGTGGACGCCTGTGTAAGTGTTGTTTGTTTTGACAAGTGTTTTTTGTTTTATTTTGCTTTGCTTTGGGGTTGTGTTGTTTGTTTGTTTTGGGGGGGGAGGGGGGGTTTGGGGGGGAGGGGGTAGGGTTGGGGGGGAGGGGGGGTTTGGGGGGGAGGGGGTAGGGTTGGGGGGGAGGGGGGAGGTAAAGATTTTTTTTTCTTTTTCTGTTTTCTTGGTTTTGGGTTTTTTTTGCTTTTTGTTTTGTTTTGGGTTTTTTTGCTTGGTTTTTTTTTTCAGTTCTGTTTTTTTGGTTTAATTTGTTATTTTTGTGATTTGTTTGCTACCCACCCACTTACGCCTTTTTATTTTTGTCCTGTTTGCTGTATGTGGAGTCTGGTAGTGCTTGGAATTTGGACAGTTGTAGTAGGCACTACTTTGCCATACCATGACAGAGTGGCGTATTTGACAAAATTGTTTTGTTTTTTTCTTTGACTGGTTTGTTACACTGGCTTGCCCATATCTACGGGTGGTTGGAGGGCACTGTTGGTCTACATCTGAAATGATAATTTTCAAAGTGGTAAAGCTATGAGTGGTGTAGGTAGCCTAAACTGATAGAAATTTCTAACAAATTTAAAACTAAACTGATATTAATTTTCTCCTTTATGTAAAACTAAACTGATATACATTTTTTAAAATTCAAAACTAAACTGATATTTATTTTCTCTTTTATTGAACAATAAACTGATATTAATTTTTTTCTCTCATTCAAAACTAAAACTATTAATTTTCTCTTTTTATTTAAAACGAAACTGATGTGAATTACAACAAACTATTCGTTTTTTCTCTCTTATTTAAAACTAAAGCTATCATTCATTGTCTCTCGTATATTTAAAACTGAAGCTCAATTACTGTCTCTCTTATATTTAAAACTGAAGCTCAATTATTGTCTCTCTTATATTTAAAACTAAAGATATTAATTGCCTCTCCCCCTCGACTTTCTCCCCCCCTCAGATGGTTCACAGCGAGCAAGAACGCGACCAGCGGCAAGGAGGAATGGTCAGTCAGCAACAACTACTGGCAGAGGAACTGGGCCGCCTGCCCGGACATTTTTTGACCCACCATCTCATCCTAGCATAATTTTATTACGTGTAATATTGGAATGTCTTTACCTTGTGACAACGGTGATGATGGTGATGATGATGAAATTTTAATTGTATACAGACCCATAAGTGATGACAGACCAATAATATTAAAACTTTTTTTTTTGTATTGCATATCGTTAGCAAGCTGTTAAAATGCACAAAGCCCCCAATTAAATTTTTTTTTTTTAAATTGCACTTTTGTGATCTGTGATAAAGGCTGCATGTGCTCAAAAATATCTTGTTGAAATTCAAATTCTGAATGTTGATAAAACCTTAAAACGGGGTGGTTGGAGGGCGCAACTGGTAGATTCTACTTGAACTTTACTTTCTCCCTCTGTTGTTTCTGTCTGTCTGTCTGTCTGTAACAGACTAATTTGTCTGTCTGTCTTACTTTTCCCCCAAGCAGTAAATGACCAATTATTGTGTCAACGTGCTTGTCTTTCCTCAAACAAATGAAACAAGAAAAAATGTATAAATATAGGTACAGTTGGTCACCAGAATGAAACAGTTTTTGTTTCTCTCTCTCTGTGGGAAAACCCCCATAAAAAGTAGGTACAGTTTGTTAAAAGAATGAAAGTTTTTTTTCTCTTTCCTGAAAAGTTGAGCTCCTATAACCCCGCGTGGATGATGGGAGCGAACGTCCAGTGAAACTCGCCAGGTCCCCTACTGGACGATCCCAGCATCCAATCAGATCGCAGGATGCATGAAGTGTTACCGCTAATAATACAATCTCTTACGAATCCGCATAGATTTATTTTAGAGAAATGTAGGAAGTGCTAGAGAAATGTAGAAACTACTTCCCCTTTCATTTTGACACAGTTTAGCTATTTTACGAACATTTTGCGTGTATCCCCCATTACGTGTTTCAGGACAGCTTGAAAAAATTCACGCTAAACGTGGAAAATAATTCTGGGGTTAAAGAGCTGATAGTTTTATGGGCTTAGTACGTTTTAATAGCTTTCCGACGATTTATCGTGTCAGAGAGGATGACTACCGCGTTGTCGTTGTTGTCGTTGTCGTCTTCTGGGCTCGCGTCTGCCAGTGAGCCGGGTATACGCGTACGTTGTGGGTTTTTTTTGTACGTATACGTCCTCTCCGGCTTGATGCGGAAATGTTTTACCCATGATGGTAATTTGTTACACTTTGATTAACGAGCGTGTTCTCTTTCGGCCAGTGATGTTTATCAAGGCTGACGGAAAATTTGAATATATATAATATCATATATATCTTTTTCAAGGTTTGTTACGCTCTATGTATTATAATGGTAATGATTGGTGGCTAGAACCGACTTGTATAATTTGTTCACTCTCGTCTGTCGGTGGTGAAAACAAGATAATGAAACGAATAGCTCGGTTTTTTCTTCTCAGATCTTTGAATGGAAGTCTTAAATTTGGATGACCAACAGAGTGTAAAATTCGTTAATGAAGATCAGTGTAAGCTAAGGTTCCGACACGTTGTCTTTGATATTAACCTAAAATGGGTAAAAAAGAATTGGAGGATTTACAGCTTATGCCTAAAACATTATAAAGTGGACAAATTTTTGTCAACACTACTCTTTAGCACCTTCCTATGAAACACCCCATCCAAGGGACGCAGTGAATAATTTTTTACTTTTTGAGACTCACATGGAGATGGCTAGTTCTAGATAGTCTTGGGAGGACATTGACAAGTTTACACTGAAAAATGTGTTTGTATGTATGTGGGGGGGGGGTTTGCTTAAAATGAGCAAATTGTAGGTTGGCTAGGTTACTGTAAAGCATATGTAATAGTGGTCTTGTGTATGCACCCAAAGGGCGGTGTTTAGTATAGAGCCTTGATTAAGAAATAATTTTATTACTGGAATAAGATTTCCTCAAACAAGATATTTTTGTGTGGTCGTTGGCTTACAGGTGTGCCAGTTAAAGCGACTTGCACATTGGCAATTAATAAATGATCCAGAATTTTCTTTGAATGCAATTCATAAATGATCCATAATTTTCTTTGAATGCAATTCATAAATATTCCAGAATTTTCTTTAAACGCAGACAGATGAAAGTGAACAAGCTATACCTGGTTTTAACTGGTGACTGGTCACATTTCTAATAATAATGAGTTTTCATGCCATTTTTACATGGTTGTGTGTTTGGGTCTGTGAGTGTCTACAAGACTGGATGGGTGCGTGTGTTTGAGTTTTAGTCTTTCATTACTGGTCACTGGTGTGAAAATGGTGTAGGTTTAACGCCCCTATCAACACTATTAGGTGTTTCGTCAGCTTGCGGCAGTAATCGGGTCGTTCTGCTTGTGATTATCAAAGCACCTCATCATTATAGCAGGTTTGGCAGCGTTGTCATTTTGACAGCTCAGTATGAGACTCCGCCATGCGCCACTCGTCAGTTGTCAGAATGGCGTAGAGTGAGTGACGCCTTACACTACACTACCTCAGAACGACAACGTTCTATCTGACATTTTTGGCCGTTCTGAGTTAGGAACCCCATGAAGTCAGACACCGAATAAATGTTCTATCTGCTCTAACAAAATCATAAGATCCCCCGTAGATAGTAAGAGTCACTATCAAAAAAGATATTCTAAGAATTGCATCCGAAAAAGCTCGACGTGTTGTGTAACTCAACATTTTTTTCTCGTCAAATTTCTCAAAACTGGTTACTGAGCAGATAGAACTTTGTAGATCTGAGGTAGTGACCAGACTTCTTAATTCACGGTCGTCGGTGTCTGATGCCACTAGTGAAAATCTGAAGCGGAGTCTTGTCATTTTCCCCCCTGTAAAAATACACGCAACAACGTAGTATACTTGCACTAACATCGTACGATTTGGTCTCCGAAATATGAGGACTGTTCTATTTATTCAGGGTATGGACGTATTCTAATTTTAAATTCTGGGTACAGTCAAGTATCTCGGTGCGTTTTGACGGACACGTTGTTGTGTCCAGATTAAGAAAATGGGTAAAAATGTTTTGGACTTTTGTCTCTGAATTGTCCATGATGTGAATGGGAAAGATGAAATCTTTGAGCTGTGGAAATGAAACTCGAAAAAACGTATATTTTGACTCTTTCCGTACGCAATAATTTATATTATTTATTACTTATACATATATACGTATTGTAATATAGAATTGCGACAAACAGCGTGGAAAGATTCAAAATGTGAATTTTAAAAAGCATGTGAAAAAAGAAAAATTACAAGTAGAAAATTGATGGATGCGCACCATTGTGTAGAGCAGAGTCTTGTAAGTGTAAAGGTATATCTTTGAGAGGGGGAAGAAAGTATGGCGCTCTTCACACACATTGCTTATCTTTTTTTCTTTTTTTTTTGGAGAAAATATCTGACGTCATGAAAGAACTTTTGGTGTGACTGGTCAAGTGTTACATAATATAATGCTGTTTGTCACAACTTTTTTGTGCTATTTCTTCAGTTTTTGTAGAAAACAGCATTGTGTGCCATGACTTTGACGAGTTATTTTAGTACAATGTTTGACTTTTTTGTCTGTGTATACATGATGCAGGGATTGTTTACTACTAAATAATGCTGTTTGTTTGTTTGTCTGTCTATTTACTATATAATGTTGTTTGTTTGTCAATTTGTTTGTTTATTATAAAAATGCTGTTTGTTTGTTTGTCTGTTTGTATGTTCTTTTACTACCTAATGTTGTTTGTTTGTCTGTTTGTTTGTTTACTACATAATGTTGTTTGTATGTTTGTCAGTTTGTTTACTACATAATATTGTTTGTCTGTTTGTTTGTACCAAAACCGGAGATGCAATGACTAGAGTTTGGTTTTGTGATTTTCCTCAATTTGCCTTACATCCAGGATGATTCTCAAACATTCCAGTCTGACACATTTCCCCTGATCGGACGTTGAAGTTTCTCGTTCAGGGGAAACAACTATTGCAGCAGTGAGTGTCTTTGGCGTAGTAGTTAGGTGCTTCGTCAGTGCACGTGGAAGACTTGAGTTTGCTTCCTGTGTGGGGAAAAGTTTTATATATATATAGTATCTTTTTATATATATCGTACCTGGGTCAGTGTGGGTGGTCTTGCGACTAGTCGCTACCCTGAGAAATCTTAATATCCCAACTGAAAGAGCTGAGGAGCTGGCCTATCATAGAAAACTGCATCTCCCTTTGATGCTTAAAGGCAACAGAGGATGAAAAAGTAAAAAGTAAAAGTAGGTATCTTGGTGGTTGTACCGGGAACTTGTTTTCCTCTTATCTTTGGGTGGCTCTGAGAGGCAGGGTCGAAGTTGAAGGACTCGTCTTAAGGGACCTAAAGCGTATCGACGGGATTTTAAAAACACCTACAGCTTTATTAAATTTACAAATATTCGCTGTTCTTCCTTAAGGACCTCAAAGGCAAAACGTGGATTTTAAGGGGTTTTTTTTTAATGATTGATTATTAGTAGACTTTAGTATAGAAACAAGGAAAGCTTTCTCTTTATCAGACGGAGAACTTTTTTTTTGAAGAGTTCTCTCTCCAGTTGATAGTAAGAGCTAAATTTTTTGCAATAAGGTAAATCATATCGATGCAGTAAGTTAGGTGCTTTATGCCAGAGAGAGAGAGTCTTTAATCTAGCTCGTAATAAAGATCCTCATGATCTGTTTATTTGTTGGGGGTTTTTTTTACTCTCGGTGGTTCTTCTATGCTTTTCTTGACAAATAGCTAAAGGCCGTCCATTTGAAATAATAAAACTATTTTTTTGCTTGTTACTTTTGACAAAATGCACAAATGTATTGCAAATTTGGACACAAAAATGTTTTAATTTTTCTTTACAGCATAGATAGAAACGGTTCACCTCTGGTCCCTATTAGTAGCAACTGTTTTGTCTCTGTGTTTGGACTTGGTCGATTGATGAATATTTAATTAGAGTTGACGTACAACTTACAATGTAAATTCTCTCAGGTTGGGTGTGAGCAAAATTTGATATGTGTGTGTGTGTGTGTGTGTGTGTGTGTGTGTGTGTGTGTGTGTGTGTGTGTGTGTGT